CTGTTTGCCGATGATTGTGTTGTTTTTAGAGAAATTCGCTCACCTGATGACTGTGAAGTTTGGCAGGAATCCCTGGTTGCAATAGAGAGTTGGTGTGAGCAGTGGGGAATGATGTTGAATGCCGGAAAATGTGCATTTCTACGAATAACGCACAAAAAACATTTCTTCAACTCCCAGTACTTCTTGCAGAACACTTGTATTGCAGATGTTGGGGAGTACAAGTACTTGGGCCTCACTTTGAACTCTAATTTATCTTGGTCATGCCACGTAAAACGTATTTGTTCTGCTGCATTTACTAAGTTGTGTTTTTTAGACGAAAATTAAGACATTCTCCAAGGCGCGTTAAGCTTTTAGCCTATGAAACTTTTGTTATAGCTAAACTTGAATATGCTTCCGTGATATGGGATCCGCACTTGAAAAAAGATATCTACATGCTTGAGCTCGTTCAGAGAAAAGCGGTGCGTTTTATTTTTAACAAATATGGGCGTTACGATTCTCCGTCGAAGCTCATGACTGATAATGGCATTCAAACCCTAGCACTTCGTAGACGCTTGGCCCGTTTACTCTTCCTCAACAATATTGCTACTTCTAAGGTGAAAATAACTCCGTCAACTATGATTAAACCGCTAAGCACAAGAAGGACCCGTCACACGCATGCTCATTCCTTTCAGCCTATCTTCGCCAGAACTAATCAGTTTAAGCACAGCTTCTTCCCACGTACAATTTTCGAATGGAATGCGCTCCCGGAAGCAGTGATACAAGCCAAAAAATTTTCCCAAGCGCCCCAGGAAAGCATCTGTCGCTAAGTGTATACATTGTATGGTGTGCTATGCCTTGACCAATCTGCGTTGTACTCCTTTTTATCGTTATTATTTTTATTCTTTGTATGTATGTGTAACAGGGTTATGTGTATTGCCGATTGCCCCTCCTGCTTGGGCCACAAACTGGCCTGCAGTATTCGCAATAAATAAATAAATAAATAAATAAATAAATAAATAAATAAATAAATAAATAAATAAATAAATAAATGATGCATTGCAATAGGGTCGGCAAGTGCAACTTTCCAGAGTACTGTTTATTGCCATCGTACCCTCAATTCACCCGAATACTTTCAGGGTGGGTGCCGCTTTCTGCTTAAAGCACATCGCAAAATGCTCTTGGCATCCTCCCAAACATGAAGGCTATTAAATGGTGTGTGAACGCAGCGTTTTATAGCGACTCGGTTGTTCAAAAAAAAAAAAAACAAAAAACAGGCTATAGGTCATGCAGGTGCGCGCTGTTGGTAGGTGTAAAGTACAGCACTGTAGTTTATCGATCATGCTAGATCATCTGGCCCTGGTACCACTGCATAGAAATATTACTATCACCTAAACTGTGACACATCGGTACTTAAACTATACTTAAAACAGAGTTACCGTGCACAACCGTGTGTTTAGACTTAAAAGCGCTTTAAAGAGCCCAGACATTGCAAATTAATTCAGACGGCATGCCTTATACATAATGTCGTATAACTTTGCTCAAAATTTCATCTTTTTTACATTGTATGCAGCGTTTGTGTGGCATTTTGTGGGGATGCTGACACCCCCTGTAAAGTTGCTTGCGCTGCGTGGCGCTCGTGTCTCGCACAGAATCCGTATTTCGGAGGGTGACAACTATTGAGATTGAGCTATAGGTGGCGTTGTCTTCGCGAGCGGTGATCACCACTATCATCATCATGGTTGATAGAGTAGTAGCGCCGGCGGGGACCCCTGGCGGAAGCGAAGCCTTGGTGGCGGTGCGCAAGAAATAAGCTCGTCTTTTTTTTTTTTTTTTTCTACCGCTGAGGATAGGCCCCTTGCCACCCCTACCCTTGCTTCTGGACTGCCGCTTCTGTTGATGACGACCGTTCCACTGCTCAATTAATCTTCCCTCTTCTTTCCACTTTTCTCCCTTTTCCCTTCCCCGCAGGCACTGTGCCGTGCTCCCGATCGGGTTGCAGAAATTAGGTGCCTTTTCTCATCTTATAACCACTACCACCACCACTTTTTTTGGCCTGGGGCGGTGGCGCAGACAGTTGCCTCCAGCGATGGGTCTGCCGTGGACGGCACCGCGGGCCGTCGGCGGTGGGCCCACGTGGTGAGTCAGGCGTTAGCGACACCGCCTTGTTTATCCTGGGGCGGTGGCGCAGACAGTTGCCTCCAGCGATGGGTCTGCCGTGGACGGCACCGCGGGCCGTCGGCGGTGGGCCACGTGGTGAGTCAGGCGTTAGCGACACCGCCTTGTTTATCCTGGGGCGGTGGCGCAGACAGTTGCCTCCAGCGATGGGTCTGCCGTGGACGGCACCGCGGGCCGTCGGCGGTGGGCCCACGTGGTGAGTCAGGCGTTAGCGACACCGCCTTGTTTATCATGTTGTTGAGTGTGGTTTAGGGCCAAACAATATAATATTGTGTAAGGATGTCTTAGCGTGTTGATCACGATGACGAAATAAATGTGTATTGTTTGGTTTGTTCCGACCGCGTCTGCTGTGTCCGTTCACTCCGAGAGCTTAGTGGCGCTCGCCACATCGAGACCCCACGATTGTTAGTGACCGACGGAAGGCAGTGGACATTTTTAGTCTGAAAAAAAAAAAGAAACATGCTTGTCCCATCAACCAGGCTTTTGTTGTAGCACTCTCATGCGCGTTATCCTTCGAAGAGAGCTTTCTGCTGAACTCTTATATAAGATTTTTATATTTTTACGGGTGCAAGAGCATGTGCCTACACGTGGTAAACGCAGTGTAGCGCAACGCGCCGTCAGCCACTAAGCTTTCCTGACAAGACTTATCGACATTCCCACGTTTCATGGTGAACAGAATGAGAAAAAAAAAATCATATGCGAACGGTGGTCACTGAACTAATCGCACAGATATACGGGCTTTTTACGATCTTTCTTTCTCTCTTTTTTGTAGTATGCAGATGACAAAGATATAAATAAGTATTTACGGCGCGCTACAGCAGTGCGTAGCAGGCGGGCCACAAGGTAACCACGTACAAACAAAGCAAAGGCTTGATTTAGTGCGAAAGCGTGAGGAGAGTCACCCAGGGCGAGCATTCCTATGAAAGGCATAATGCGCTTTACTCACGTGTAATGTTAACGTTGCATAGGCGTCGTGCACCTATTCAGTAGAGAAGAGTGTAGATATTAACAGTAAACTGTAGTCGGTGCATTTGATCCGCCGACAATCGGTTCAGACCACTGTTGCGACGCGCACCTCCGACGACGTTACGAAGGGCGCTACGAATCTCACCGCTGCAACCACTGTTTCGAAAGACGGCGACGCCAACACGGTCCCGAAGGCGCCACTGCTTCGAACTGCGCCGGGAAGGTCACCAGCCGTTTGGTAGCGTAGGTTTTTCAGCTCGCGACTGCTTCTGCGCAGAGCTGATAGACGAGCGGACTAGACGACGGTGAGTGAAACAAGGTTTATGTACAGCGTATATACAGAGGCGTTACAAATTCGGCGCTGGGGCCGACAGAGACGCGAAGAGCCGAGCTCTTCTCTCTAACACATAGCTCTACTCTCAAATGGGTCTGCTAACACATAGCTCAACTCTATCACATAGCTCATCACATAGCTTTCTTCTCTGACACACATGTCTGCTCTCCAACAGGTCTGCTCTCACATAGGACTGCTGCTCACATAGGACTGCTAACACATAGCTCTCTCTGACACACAGCTCAACTGCGACACACATCTCTGCTCTCACACAGGACTGCTAACACATAGCTCAACTCTGACAGACAGCTCAACTGCGACACACATGTCTGCTCTCACACAGGACTGCTAACACATAGCTCAACTCTGACACACATGTCTGCTGTGTACCTTTTCTGCTATTTTGATGCACTGCGTTAGTGAGAACAGATTGTCTTTCAACCTCCTGTGTTTCCGAAACCCATTCTGCAGTTCCCCCAGCACCCCCTCGTCCTCTATTCATGCCTGCAGTCTTTCCTTTATAATCTGCATCGCCAGAATGTAGACCACTGATGTCAGTCACTGTTATAGGACAATAGTTGTTTATGTCAGCTTTGCCCCCGTTTCCTTTATATATCATGCTCATGCTGCTAAGTTTTCATTCCTCGGGGACTTCACCATCGACTATTGTTTTGCTCTCTACCTCTCTCAAAGTCAGCTTAGACTTGGGACCCAATACCTTTATCAGCATAACTGGGATGCCATCAGGGCCTGTTGATGTACTACTATGAACCCTTTTCTCAGCCCTTTGCCACTCTCGTTGTGAAAATGGAGCCACTGCTCCACTCGATCTATCCCTGTCTCTAAAGGCGCATAACTCACTTCTTTGTTCAAAATTTTCTTATATATTCGATAGCTTCGTCTCCTTCTAACCAAACACCTTGAGCTGTAGTTATAAACCTCTGCTCTAGGTTTGTCTCATTTCTTAGAGAGTTTAGATGGTTCAAAAATTTTGTAGCTGCCTTTCTATCCTTTGATGTACTTCTGCCAGTCACTGAGCTCCATTTATTCTAATCTTTTCATTGATTAGAAGGGATACTTTCCTTATGCAGATTAGAAAGATGTCCCTCCCTCCTTTTTTTTTTTTCATCATCTGTCGATTCACCTCGCTGCTTAGCACGTCTGTGTTCTCTAGAGTCTTCCTATAGGCACTGCGCCGTGCTCCCGACCGGGTTGCAGAAATTAGGTGCCTTTTTTCATCTTCTAACCACTACCACCACCGTTTTGCTATGGCGCTCTTAACTTCCTCATCCTACCAATTCTTGGGTTTGTGTCTCATTTTTTGGAGTGACTCGTCACGTGCCTTAGTCAGCTCTAGCTAGAACAGTCTAATCAGATTCGTGTACGTCCACACTGTTTTATTATCCTTAGTGATTACTTTTTCAGCTTGTTTAGTTGTTTGCTTTTAGTGTATGTCGCGAGCGCCACTGCGTGGCGCTTGCAGAAAACTGAATTCAGGGCGACTCCGCTGGCATTACGAGCCATCCGCCAGGCAGTTCTGTGTCAGGCATCTTAATAAAGGAGACGTTCGACGATCATGGCGCTCGGCCTCGCACCGAGGCTGAGCCCATGGCACCAATGGATGAGCAATCATTTGCGAGACCACTCGGTGGTGGCCTAAATTTCCACTGTTTCTTCAATCCCGCAACCACGTAAAGGACGCGTTGCAACGTTTTTCAGGTGAGGCTACTTCGAGCGCCGCACTGAAGGTGTGCATTGGCCTTTGCTTGACTTCAGGGCGATGCCTGCGCGGTAGCAATCCAGCCAGTGATCACCTGGGGGTTCGCTGAATCGAGGCTGAGTGTTTTTGAGGTAACCAAGCTTTTGTCGCTCCTCGATGCTGGGAACGAACTGCCTGTAGTATCCGAAGCAATGTAACTCGCAGATCAAAGGCAAACCGTGATGGCCTACTGAACGTAGTAGCGCATGTAGGAAATGTGTTATATAAATAACAGTTCACGCCACCACCTCGAGAATGCCCCGTTTTGCGTTTCCTTTGTTCTCGATCAAGTATTCATCTTGCAGCTGCCGACTGATTCAAGACATTTGTAAACATCGTACGTGAAGGCTACATACGGCGAAAACATGTTTGCACTCGGGGCAAAACGAAGCTGTATTGCACAATCATTTCGATAGAGTGCTTGAGACAGTTGAATCGTGTGGAATTTATGACCGTTTGAACAATTATTGCCGGTTAGTACGTGAAGAATGGATGTATTTACCGCGTACTTCGGACTGTCGCCGTCTGATGACTCCGTCGCCGAAGCAGCTGTCATCTGGAGTGGCATCTATGTGTCGTTGTTCTTGCTGGAAATTTAAATAAAGTTTAACAGTTCTAGCTTGCTTGCGACATGGTACAAGCTATTGCTGTACTATAAATGTGGTTATTCAAATAAGCATCGTGAGATGTTTCATCGTGGCAGGAGACCCGCACTCACAACATTGTGCTAACGATAATTACACTTGATTGGCTCGCAGTTTACCGGCTACGCAATGTAGTCTGATCCCACAGAATGGCTAAAGGAAAGGCATAAGGCTTTTGATGTAATCTGCTATAAATGCCAGCCAAGTGCCTGGCACTTATTCCTTTCACTGAGAACTCCTCTCTGTGGTTAACTCCAAGGGACCCAAAATACTTATCAATGTTTAACAGCGTTGGCCACAACAGGTATCAAGTTAAAAGTGTGAAAGGCAATTTATTTTCAAATGGATTCTGTAATGTTCATTTGGGCTGGCAGCCTAAGAGGAGAGAATAGCTGTCCAGAGAGTTAAGTTCCTGTGCACTGCCTCTGGCACAGCTTGGTGCTGAAGTTTTGTGACTTTCTAATATATTCTATAGCCTCGGAGAAAGATAAGTGGTTTCAACCTGCCTCAACTTCTCATCATCTCATGCATGTGCATTCAAGTGGCTGGATGTTGCATGCATTTCTTTTAAAATGAGGAACCGATTACACTTTCTTGATCGTCGTGGCGTGCATTAGCTCCATCAGTGCTGCAGAGCGCAGATATTTGTCGAATTGATTTCAAAACTGAGCCTTGGTCCACGAATCAAGTTCAGAATCGGAAGTTTTATTTCCCAACGAAATTGTTGAAGATCCTTCAGGCGAAAATCTACACTATACTGCTTGAATGTGCCTGAAGCTCCTCACATGGCAACACTAAAGTCGGCATAGATATCCAAGTACACAATTTCAATTCAACTGAGAAAATAGGGTATTTTAAATAATACATACAAGCACACGGTATCTATGAACAAAATAGAAATGTAGTGCATTTCGTCAGAGTAAATGTCAAAATACATTGTTATCATCAGAAATAGTCGTAGTGACCAAAAAAAAAAGCACTAATATTAAAGGGCTTATGCATAATGGTATGAAACACTGTTTATTGAAACACTGAGCATGAATAGATAGAAAAGGAAACAATGCAAAATGCAAGAACTGTTCAACCTCATTTATGCTTTCATTTGGATTTGTAAAAGTTCTCTGATTTGTTTGCACATTGAAGTAGTTAAGGCAATTCTTTCCCTTTCGAATTTATTTAGCAATGACGGTAGGCTATGTCTCCGCGATTGCATGAGATAATTTGTGCAGCGGAATGGTACGAGCTACCTGTCTTGGCTACGAGCGCGTGAGTCACTTTTTTAGGGTTCAAGTCATGAGGTATGTTTTAAAGGGGCCTTCCAATGCTTCAAAACAGCGGTGCTGACCGCATCAACGCATAGTGGCTCTTGGCAAAACTATTTTGAGCGGAAATCTTGATGGATGGCGCAGGCCTGTGATTGGATAGATGTAACATTAGAATTAATTGTGGCGTTGCATGAAAAATGAGGATTACTATAGCGTTTATTTTTTCTTTAGCACAGGTTTTGTCTGAATGCAGAAGAGACTGAGCCTCTCCAACTTTTTCAGCTTTAAAGCTGCAAACCTAATAAAAAAATGCATAGACACAGCACTGGAAGAAATAGGCCGGGGACGCTCCAGGGGCTGTTGTTTGAAGAAAGTGAAGGGGAAAAGTGTAAGAGCGTTGATATATAGACGCCGTTGCAACAAGAAAGACCAGTAAAACTACAAAAAATTACAGAAGCGTTCGCGAGTTGCCTGATTTCGCACGTGCGGTTAGCTTTTCAGTACCACATTATTTGTAACCCTTGCAACGGCGCCCTCAATACGTTGGAAATAGCGGGCAATATGGCATACAAGCTTCCTGATGAAAGAGCTTTCAGTTTATTTTATTGGGGCGCTATCCTGCATCATAAGGAAAAAAAAAACAACAAAGTCGGGTGACTCCGCAAAATCGAGTTGAGGGTATGCATTCATTCTACTGTATTTCAATTTTTCTAGGCTGATTAACATTGAACTGGGTGCCCATATTGCCGCCATTCTTGCAGTACTAATGTTTTAAGCCTTCAGTCGACGCAACCAGCTAGTAAAACATGCCAAACAATGAGGTCTTGAAAAGATTTAGAGAATTGTGTGATATTGTCGGAGCCGAAACAAAATGAATATAGAAGCCAGTGTTCATAAAGACTTGTCGCGCATTGTGTACTATGTTTTTGATAAAGTTGTGCAGTGGAATGGAAATTAAGCACATTCGATATTTGTCAAAACACGCATTTTTGAATCTGAAAATGTGCACGAATGTCACCTTTTGTGGTGGTGGACCTCAGAAGCACACAGTAGTTCAGATGAGATTGAAACAAGGTGTAATATATCTGTAGTTTTACCCTCTCTGGAAAAAAATGCCAACAGCGAGACAGCTCACCAGTGGCACATGACAATTTTGTGACTAGTTCTACGGGATGGGTCCAATTTTGATCTTCTGAAAATGTAATGCCTTATACTTATCATTTCCTCAATATTTCAATGGGAGCACCATCCAAGGATAATTCTTTATTGAAAAAAGACTGCCTGCCTCTAGCTCTGAATAATATGGCCTTTGATTTTGAGCTGTTAATTGTTACAGCATTATTACGAGACCATGTCAGCAAATTGGAAAGAATAATGTAAGATTTATGCAACAGATAATCAAGTTCATGACTAGAGACAAATTTGTATCGTCAGCGTACAACACAATGAATGCATCACTAACACTTTCAGCAATATCATTTACATTAATTAGGGTCGGTCCCAATATGTTACCCTGCAGTACTTCTGCTTTAATTTGGAATTTGAAGAGCAGAATTTTTTAATAGCAACATACTGGGTCCGCCTTGAAAGATGCGATTGAATCAACAAGTTTGCCATGCCATGGATACCGTAGGTGTCTAGCTTTCTAATTGGGTTTATTATTTAAATGAGTTAATGCCTTGTTTTTATTTATACTTATACCTACAGTGCCCTCAGGGGGCATCGTTCTAGGGTGGTTTACAAATTCAAAGTACATTTAAATCAGTGGGAACAAGTTGAATTGCACGGCACAGAAAAAATAAAAACAAATCAAACTTTTACTGTAAACATATCTAAGGTCAGTAAATCTTGTCAATTCTTAGTTCTTTTTAGCATAACAACGCTTTCCCTGTCGACCTGCCTGAGGCAAATGCATGCTGACAGTGAGGAAAAATGTTATTTCTACAAAAAAAAATGTTGAATAATGCAGATATCACCTTTTTTAAAACCTTAGAAGAGGCAGAGTGAATAGAAATTAGCTTGTAGTTCCTCAAGTTATTTCGATTGCCTCATTTTAAAACCACTAGAACCCTGCCTTTCTACATAGCACTTGGAAAATGGCCAGATTCTAGAACAAGATTAAAGATAAATGCAAAGTGCATTGCAATGTCATAATTTACAAACTTTATGGTTCTGATTTGAATACCATCTGCATCCATAGCATTGTTGTTTTTTAGACCAAAAAAAGTATACAAAAAGTATGCAAAAGCTGGCTTGAAAAAAATACTATGCGGACATCTATTAACAGCAGTGCCACTGACTATCCAATGATGCCCCACGATGGGATCGTTGAAGCTTTCAGTTTAAGCGATGCCCATTACTTTTCCAATATTGAGGGGGACTTTATGAAAAGGCTGTTTCACAGTTTTTTTTTTCTTTTGTCCTATGGCTTCGTTGGTAACTTTGCATGTTTTTTTTTGTGGATGGATATTTTTCCTGCGCTCATGCTAAAACAGTTTCACGATGGTGGGCTGTAGCCCTTTGTAGTTCCGTGTTCATAGTAATCCGTAATTTCTTAAATGCAATGAGATTGCTTGTCATTAGCACGCATGAAAATTTATTAAATTACCTATTTTTCCTATTTATAATCTTAATGTGTTGAGGCTGTATCCAAGGCTTTCTAATACGTATCTTTACCTTGCCTGTTTTGAGTGGAAAAGACTAATTGTAAATACGAATGAAAATTGACAAGGATTTGCCATATGCCTCACTAGTATTTTTTTGTTATATAAAGGGAACCAGTCTGTGTGCAGTACAAGGCCATGAAAGTGTTCCATTTTTTTTCTTGACTAACATCTATAACTGAGTGTGGTATCAGACAAGCATTTTTCATGAAATGAACATGCTATGAATATCGGGCAGTGCAGTAGTCGCTGATATCATAGCTGGTAGTCCCGGCTGTGTAAATATGCGTACCAGCGTTCGACTAGTTTGTTCAACTGAAGTATTTATTTATTAGAATTTTGGTTTAGTGAAAGCTTTTTGCAATCGCTGGGGATATTCTAAAAGTTTGTTCTTCTGAAATATTCGCTGAACCAATGTTTGTACAGTGAGAGTTCACTGTATTTACTCTTGCACTGGGGCACATTCAGGTTCAAGCTTAGCAAACATGCAAAACATGCGTTGTTGCCTGATGTACCCCTGCATACGCATTCAATGTTGCATGAATATCTTTTATGAGGAACTGAACATTCCATGATATGTGGCTCAGTTTAAATCAGATTTAGGTAAGGTCGATTTTCTTTTTGAGGACCCTGTATACAGCTTCCAAAATACACAAAAAACATGTCATCAGTAATTAGATACGTAATGATTAATGTATCAGAAAACTAAAATGTTTCTACTGCAATGTATTATTCTTGTGCTTGTGCACTGTCACGACAAATTTCTTGGTTGATTTTAAATTTTGTAGCCACCTTGCATTAAGGTAGAAAGTGTCCTCCAGTCCTCTGGGAAACATGTTATTTCTCTCAATGGGCTACAATGGTTTTTTATGCTGCATATGCAAGAATAGGGCTACTTTGATTTTGTGGCACGAATGCTTGGAATGTGGTGACGAGTGATTGCGGCACAGTTTGAAGAAGTTCACTTGTGGGAGTGCATCGCTGATATCAGAAGTAGTGGGGAACATGCACAGTGCAGCACTTAACTTTTTCGTAGGATTTTTAAAGGAATGTTACTCCTTTTCTTTGTGCAGAATACAGTTGAACCCCTCTATAAAAGCCACTGGATATCAGGCACACCGGTGTGCCTGCATCGACACAAGGTTTAAAGAGAAAATGGGAGCATGTTACCCTGCTTATAAGAGACACCTCATTAACTTGTGCCCAGTATATGTTGAGCTATAATTACATGTGCTTATGTTGATATTGACTTCAGTGCTTCTACTGGTGCGTTTGCATACCTGGAAAACTGAACTTCACCAGTCAAGGTTGTTTGTGTAACGTCGGGGCTGGTTGCCTGATGTGCTGTTTGTTCATGAGACAGTATGCTCAAGCCACTAGGAGGTCATTTTTCTGGGGTGGGTTGCAAAAGTGCTTGTGTCATTCAGTCTATAGAGACTTTAATAGCTCAGAATAGGTCTTTATGCATACGTAGAAGCTAGAGCAAGTGTGGTTGCAAAGGGCAGTGAATTTGCACTATCGGATCCTTTGGAGCTCTGCTGGAACACCTGCTTCCTGTAGAGGTTCTTTAGATTCTAGTAAAACTGTTCATGGCCCAATTTGTTTTGGCTTGTAACTAGAACGAGCCGATCAATGCCAGTTGAAACCAGACTAGTTGCACATTTCCACCAGACCACTAACAGGGTGTATGATACTTTGGCTGCTCTTTAAAAAAAATAGTAGAATTGAACGGCATCACCATTACTGCCGAGCGTTGGGAATTTTTGACATACCAAAAAAACTTCAAGCAAGCAAGTAACGAAATGCATGCCACCTTTAATGCCAGCTGTGAAGTACTCATGGAGAACATAGCTTTCAGCATAAAAAATCTAGCACCATCATGTCTGAGGTATTTCATGCTAAAACCAATTGTTTTGTAGCCAATTACGGAGAGTGCACAGTGCATGTAAAAGCCCCCACTTTTTCGTTCTTTCTTGTCTGGGTGACGCAAGTTGTACCTTTGATAACTTCGTTTATTTGGTCTGTAGACACCCAAGAGGCGGCACACGGCATGTTTTGAAGTACGCTTTTTGTGTCAAGGTTTTCGTATCTGTGGCATTGGAGAATTCGCGTCATAAATCAAAGTATGCATCAACGTTGCATTTTAAATAATTTAACTGTGGAATCATTTAAATGTTGCTATTTGAGGCTGGAAAATCAAACAATTTATATTTTGCTAGGCAGTTTAATGATTCAGGCATTAAAGAGGCAATACCTCTGGAACGTTGAGCTTGTTGGATGAATGAGCCAGTCAACTCGCTGATGAATGCACTTCTTTCATTTGTGCAGGGCATGGCGTCCTCCCCGTTGATACTGCGTGTCAAAAGTGCACAGGGCCAGTTCAGGTTAGACACTCTCCATGTGGACAGCACGGTGGAGGAGCTGCTGGGCTGCTTATTCAGCTTGACAAGTGTGCCGCCAGCCTCAATGCGCCTACTGCTGTCTGACGCCCCTCCGCGGCCCTTGGACTGTACCGACCCGCAGCGCCGCCTCGACGCGCTACCCCTCCGTTCCGGTGACACGCTCATTGTCGAAGCCCGTCGTGAACAACCTGCAGTATGTGCTTCCTCTCGTCATAATGATCTTGAAACATTGAAATACAGTTCCACAGAAATTAACGCCAACAGGCACACTTGCCGTCATGTCTACCCTTGATTATTATTTTTTTTTTTGTGACAAATACTTGCCTTTAAGGCATAATATTTTTGTTAAATGTGTGCTGTTAGGCCTGTGTTGTGTATGAAGTGAAGTAGTGTCTTGTGGAATCTGTTTTCATGTATCCAGCAATTGTAACTGGCTGTGTCGCTGTAGCGAAGGCCGGCTTGAGCGAAATGACGGGAGCGTTCTGGCTGCAACCCTTTACATGTCCATAAAAGGTGGTATGTATCTGCTTGCATCGCAAGAGTGGGACAATATGGACATGCATCACCAACTCGTAAATGTGACTAGGTGCAGTGACCATTCCTGAATTTTCGGAGGTTCGCATACTAGGTCTTGATATTCACCAGTCCGGCAGTGGAGTGCACTGGTTTCGAAAAGTCAGACAGAGTTCCACAAAAACACTTCATCTGATTCGCCGCATTGCATCGAAAGCAGCTGGAGCTCTTACACATGTAGCTCGACAGCTTGTCTGCATAGTTCTGCAGCCAAGAATTTTATACCAGGCGCAATTTCAAGGGTTAACGTTTGCCCAGTTGGCACAGTTGGAGACTATTAACGGTGATGCTATGCGCACAATAACAGCATTACCTCGCATCACTCCCGTATCAACTTTACAGGAGCACGCCCAGCTTAACACAATTGAAGAGCTGGTTACGCAAAGTACCCTTGATTAACACTCCCATGTTTAAAGGCACATAAAGTCGAGGAGCTTAGTTGGTAGAGCATCGGATGCGTTATTTGAACGTTGCAGGTTTGTTCCTGCCAGTGGCAAGTTATCTTTTTGTCCACTCTTTCTTCTTCACATTTACATTATAGTTACTGCAAATAAAATCCACATACTTGGCATTAATGTCTGCTCTCATTAATACTGTGTCTAGTGAAAAAAATCGAGTCCTTAAATTTTGAATTGTTTTTCTTGGGTCCACAGACAGTAAAATTGTAAAACCACCTGTTCACCTGTGTTAAAGGGGTACTGACGCAAAAATTTTTGTGTGGATTGTTTTCGCTGCAGCATGTTGCCGGATGTCTATTAGTAATAACTAGAGATTGGATTATAACAGATGCCTATTTTGTTTTTGTGTTCTTATCTTACCACTTTGTTATATATGAGCATGAATTGGAGGTTAAGAAGGCTTTTTATAGTGTTTTCATAGTGCCTATAAATGCATATTTTCAATATTGGTGCCCATATGAACACTATTTATCCTAAACTTTTGCTTTGGAGTAAAGTTGGAGTGTGATGCGGGCTACCTTGCTGTCCGAAAATGATGGTGGCTCAGCAGATCGCTCAGATAGATCGGATCTCGCCGGAATGGTCGTCTGCACACAAGCAGATGCTTCTCCAGATGCTCTACGCGAGTAATGTTTAATTTTTTCAGATTTCAACACGAAGTAAGGCAGATAATACAATAGTTATGTTTGTTTATTTTAGCTTTTTCTTCTCGACGCGAGGGGGCGCCTCGTCTCCTGGAAGCCGTCCAGACGTGTTCCATTTCTCGAACAGCATGGGCTCGGTGCTGTCTTCTAAGCTGCCTGTGTAGACTGTCTACGATGCTGTCTAAGAATTGGAACACAGCCTTACGTAGGAAACTCTATGGTCTGCTCGCATCTTCTCGGCGTTTGCTAGCACGCGTAGCACTTCTGTGTAGCTGCAGGACGATGGAGAAGGAATGGCAAACTGTGAAGTGTCATCACGATAAAATAAGGTGCAAGTAAAAAAAATGAGATGTCGTCACAATTTTTGTTTTGTTTGTCATTTATTTGTTAAATGGTGCTTCACCAGGTCAAATGAGAAATTTCAGTTAGACACTGGAAATTATTGTGTGCCTAATGACAAGCTTTGTACCAAAAGAATTTTATAGTTGGTTCGTTGCGAGCCGCGAAAGCATGATGCGAGGACGTCAGCTAAAAAGCTTTGCCACTTGTTCGGTGTAGACTTCGCAAGCCGAATTTCGTACCGGCCCTCTTCTGTATCGAAGCATCTCGGAGTCAGAAGATCACACGATGCACGCGAATTAACACATTATGCGCACGCAAGGTTACATTTGCACAACATGCCCAAGCCAGGTCATGCACGCAGGCGGTGCTGTGTCATTTCCGCGTTCTCTGTATTGTACTGCCTGTTTCTGTGGGATGGACTCCTCTATGTGCGCACGTTTGGTGAGGCTGGCATGGATCATGTATTCTTACCACGATACGCAGCGTCGCACCGCTGGAACTGCTTTAAGAAACAATGCACGAAAAACACTCAAAGCATTGTCAGGGCTGGCACCGGCACGATGTGAGAACAGCAAGAACACCAACGCCAATGAAATGGAAGCAACTTAGCTGCAAATCTCGCTGAATATGAAGTTAATAAAAAAATAAATAACACGCAAAGATTCCGCTTGCATGTTTTAGTGTTTCAATCAACCTTCATTCTTACATTCCAGCAACAGATTGCAAGAATTATTCAAGGTGACGAGCGTAATTTGTGCAGTGTCACGTACTACTTTGACATGCGCAGGACCATTCCTTGTTGTATACAACACCTCCACAATGTTGGGGAATGAGATGAAGGGCAAGTGCGATTCACCTTTTTTCAGGATGAACGTTGCAAATCTTGGCAGGCGATATTGTGAACGTCCAGCACATGTGATTCTCTTGCTTGCTCAAAATGCTCAAACCTGATGAGGGGCTTTTTAAGGTGTTCGCAGACACGAAAATGGACCCTGTGTGAATAGACCTGGTTAATACAAGGTTTAAATACCATTCTGGCCTATTAGTGGTCTGGCTATTTGCTCCTGTGCGGCCTTTCTCTGCCATGCTGAAAAGAAAAAGACCCAGGAGCGTGTTCATTTGACAGAAGACACTTAACTCACCATGCTAGACAATAAAAGGAGACACTGTGTTCTGCTTAACCTGCGGAGAAAAAAAATTGCATGTCTATGCTAAGCCATTGGGGCCTTTGCACCACAATAAAAACAGTCTTTCTGTTTGTTTTTCTGTTGTTGACACAGGTCCCACACATATTTCTTCAAAATTTGAATTTCTATAAAATTTATTGTGCCTATAATTACAATTTATGGCTCCTGAAATTGCGTTTTGCCTGCCTATTTTCGGTGCCTAAAACCCGATGTTTGGCGCCTGTAAATCCGGCCTCCTGCGGGCATGGCATATCGCTTGCTGCAGAGCGCGACAAGTAATTAATCACTGTTCATTTGCTGCTTACCAGTCTCTGTTCTGCTTTGGGAGAGATCTGAGAATGACAATCTAACATGGGCAACTAGTGCCATCTAGCTTGTGAAACAGCACGTGAAGCTGTGATGCACTTACGGCCTTTTGCATGTGGTATGTTCGCCGTGGGCACGGACTCGTGAGCTGCTGTCAATTATCAGCCCGCTGGTGCAAGCACACTCACTACCACAATGTTAGTTGGGTGTCTCGAATCTTGGCCGCAGTAGTGATGTTGTGGAATTTTAGGGTCCCATTCAGGTTGCTTTGTTTGATGACAGTGTTGCAAGGTGTAGCGTATAGCACTAGATCAGACACGGGAAATTAAAAATTCATATAAATTACCGTCCAAGCTGTACTCGCTGTCCAGATTTCGTAGATGATATACCCATGTTCATGAGCATCGATTCCACAGGCTATCTTCGCTTTAAAATTTTGTCAGTACCCCTTTAATAAGGCAAAAACCTTAGGGTCCTCATGTGAAGGCTATCTTCGCTTTAAAATTTTGTCAGTACCCCTTTAATAAGGCAGAAACCTTAGGGTCCTCATGTGAAGGTGACCTTCAGCAAAATCATTATGCGAGCACAAAATAGTTAAAAAAAGAAACACACTGTTGGCTCCCAAGTGTGTGCCTCAAGTCATGCGAGCTGTGCTTTCCTTTTGTGTCTGTTGTTTGTGTAACTAAGAAAATTAAAGTGGCATTGGAGTGACTTTATGTAGTAATATGGAAAGAGTGCACTATCGAAGACACTTAGCTCAGAGCTTAGTGGGCTGTTTGGTAGGCCAAAGAGGTATGCAACGCCAGAAGAGAAACACAAAGTGAGACGCAACAAGCCGAACGCCTTGCCTAATTTGGATGTGATGTTTCATTCCCTCTGAGACTTTCATCTCTGAATTATCTTTAGCAGTTGTGTAAGAGAGTCTCAAAATTTTTCTGTTGTGCAGGCATCTGTAGCAACGGCCAAAAATAAAAAAGAGCACCACAAGGAGCACAAAACGCTGCCACCGCACAAGCCAGCAGCTGAGAAAAAGAAGGAGCAGTCGCTGCCAGGTGTGCTGGTCAAGCGCCCCGTGCCGGCGGACAACTCTTGCCTCTTCACCAGTGTCTACCTGGCTCTCTCCAGTGGCGACTATGATGCTGGGGCCAGTGGTGCCCTTCGCCAGGTGAGACCCCATCTCATCAGACACAGCCGCTTTCATGTAAATCTTGTTATGCGAGCCGATTAAGTTAGCCAACAACAAATAGGCTGTAGAGTCAGTAGTAGCAACAGTACACTATTACAGTAATGGATGTGCACATTTCCATGCATTTTATTCTTCTATGTGGGTGCACTTACCAAACTCTACAACTATATTATGACATGTTTGGTTTTGAGGGCTTGTTAAGCATTTTGCATTTTCATATGCCTGCCTGTTATTGATGGAAGGCTGTGGTCGACCTCCAGATATCAACATCTGTGCAGCTCTTCAAGGAAAACCCTTTCTTTATTTATTTCTGTGTGTGCGCAAATTGTTTCAGGAAGAAACTGAGATAGCACAGTGTCTTTCCTATCTTCAGTTTTTTCCTGAGACGTTCTGTGCACAAAAAAAAGGTGGGGGGTGATCCTTTAAGAATGCAATACCAACCAGCCCAAGCAGCTACACTGTTTCTATGCAGAGAAAGCTTGTTAATTTGGGTCTCAGGGAACCAGAAAAACATGTCTAAATTAACTGAATGTCGAATTATTGAGTCTCATGAAAGTAATACACAAATGGTTATTATACCAATAGACTTTTATTTTCTTCATGTATACACAAATTCGGTTCTTGCTTTGCAAGAGAACACTGTAACAACTGAAATGTTTGAAGTGTGAATGACATGGACGCAAAAAAAGGCACGAGACAACAAATAAGTGCTGCAAGTACTTTTAAGGGTACCACATAGGCCCTATATGTTCCTAGCATTTTTGGTCATTTTGAGGCACCTTTTTGTCTGGGATATTCACATAATCCATACAACATTTTTCTTCCGAATTTTCCGCTCTTTTATTGCAATAGCAATTATATGGACACTCTCGGCTGGCTTTTGCCGTCCACGTCGCCATTCGTTGCCGCCATCGTTTTCCGTATATGTTCATGTATCTACATAAATATAAAAGTGACAAAGTTAGATAATTAGAAAAAAACACTTTCGGGCGTGCGGAATCGAAGTAGCAACCTATCACTCAGGAGCATGTGGCGTTAGCCATGGAGCCACGAAAACACTTGTTTTTCAATTCTCAAACAACAAATCATTCATATATACCACTTGATGCTGGCCGTGCCGATTTCAGGGCAGGTATCGGCGTGTTTTCAGCATCACTAGCGAGATTACACAAAAGAGCGTGCTCGTCGCAACACACCTCATGCGCACATCTCCAATGCGTACTTTGCCCCATGATGGGGTGTGTAGGTAGATGCTTGTGCGTGCGTGCACTTATCTCGTGGTGGGAGAGAATCGTATGCCTTGGGCTTTCACCGGAACAATTGCATTGTAGTTACCGAGTGCACCAAGGTCACTTCGCTCGCTGCACAGTCGCCGTTTGCAAAAAGAGCTCATTTTTCAGACACAGCGAAGTAGCACTTGTAATACTTGTTAATTCACGCTCATCTGTACCTGTGAGCACATTCTGTGCATTGTTTTTATTTGAGCAGCGTGTCAAGTGTCGAGCTATGAAGACTGTTAGTTTGCTGTAGTCCTGTGTGTGTTATTTTTATGTGTTATTTGTGCGTGAGCAGCATGCTGCACGTTTCAATCAGCTGGCTATTCTTCGCATGACAGTCCAATTTCTTGCTATCGCATTTATTGCTTTGCCCTTACAGCGAAATTGTGACTTTTTAAGTGAAGCAGGTTTATTAAAATCTCATCGATATTAGAATTTAAAATTTTTTTGACCAAGTAGACCTAAATTTTGAGTTAATTGAAATCTATAAAAATTGATAAAAACACAAAATCTATAAAAACACAAAAAATGTAAGTGGGAATAATTTCGATTCTGCTTCGGTAGCTGTAGGCATTCATGCAGGAAACAAGAAAAAATAAATAACTGTTTGTCTTGGAATGTGTAGAAAATGCTGTATTTACTCTCATAATCTTCGCACTTTTTTTTGGCGGAAAACCAATGCAAAGTTGGGGAGTACGAGAATTATGCGGGGAAAACTTTCCACGAAAACGTACAGAGTGAAAAAGAAAACAAAGTGGCCGCCCTGCAAGCTTTGAGTTGTACCGATTAAGACTTACCTCAACAATAAAAGCACAGGTTCAACACAAGGCAAGATTTATTTAAGACACAAAAGGGGCAAGCAAATAGTCGAGAATGGATAGCTTGTAGGCGTTGCGTTAGCATTCGTCTCTCAACAGAAGCCCGCAAAAGGTTAGAATATGACGTCAGTATTGTGGTGATGGCCATTTAACACAGAATCGTCCGCAGTTGCCTTCTGACGAAATAAAGTTCATCCCAGTCTTATGCACTCGGAAGGCCCAACTCGTCTTGGTGGCTTTGAGCTGCTGTCACCAGTAGCAAACACAAAACTCGTTGACTCCAAAGGGCCGTTGTTTAGTGCATGACCGATCGCTTTCATCTTGAAAGCAGCCGTACAGCTTCCGTATCGCCTCATTACGTAACAACATTGCGGACACAACGTACAAAACAGGCCGCAATGCGCACTTGCCACTTTGGCTTGGGCTAGATTGGATTTAATCTTCGTGCAGTAATAGTACGCTTCATGCTTCAGAGATGGCGCTAAATGGCATGCATTATCATCATCATTGGCTGGAACGAGCTGACAACATTATTGTGGCAATTTTGTGGGTGCAATAATTACTCTTGGAAAAAAAGAAATAGTATTTTTGTTGAGCGATGTGGGGGGAGCGAGAATTAGGCGAGTGCAAGGATTATGCGAGTAAATATGGTAATGGTGCCTAAGTAATCAAAAACATGGTTTTGAGATAATAGAGTTTAAAGTTTGAAAATGGTTGAAAAGTGAACACAATTTCTCACAAACATCGTTCAACTATTTCATTTCGTAGCTAAAAGCTCGATAATCCTTTCCAAAGTGAATTTTTTCACTTTGGAGCCTTCCATAATGCTTGCCTTACTTCTTTTATGAGCTGTAATGCAGCTCTATCCGCAGTGTGTAGTCGAATGTGGTCAACGTTGTCCAGCGAATTGACTGTAGTTTGGCCAGGCTTGAATCCTCACTATTTCTTAATTTAGGCTTTGTGATACTACAATCCTTAAATCAAAGAACAATATCCAATGTAGCAAACCTTAAGACTTTGAACCTAAACAAAAACTCAGCAATGCAAATCCATTAACTCAACACTCATACCAGGCCGTTCTCACGCGCTATTTCGTTCTAATTGCATCACAACTAATAGTCATGTTCATTAGAGCATACCCGTTGTGACCCCTCACGTGATAAGATGTTCACCGATGAAGAGCTTGCCTGTTGAACGTTCTGCGCCTCAGTATGTGACTGACATTTACTCACATTTACAAGGGAATTGTATGGGTTGCCGTGAAATTCACATTTGCTGAAGACCTTTCTTGCGCTCAGCATCTAAACTTATCATCAACAAGCTACGGGTGTAATGAAGCTAGGAGTTAAAAGTGTTCGAGGCGGTGCGTTTTGAAGACGTAGTGCGAATATAAAAGTGCACAGTGTCTTTGGACTGATTTATAAGACTCACCTGACAATTTTATATACACAGCTGTCTTTGACAAGTATTTTGGCTTTCTTACATGAAGTTTTTTAAAGAAACATTCACTGTAAGCATCGAGCGAATATGAGAGGCTTGCCCTTTTCACTCACTACTTGCTTTTGCAAGAAATGCTACTTAAGAAAAGCACAAATGTGGGAAAATGCACATAGACACCCTTCCCAAATCGCAAAGAAAAGAAAGTGGTATTTTCTTGTGTTTTGCCCTTAACCTGTGTGTTCATGAAACTGCGCTGAATAAGACAGTGACACCGATGCTCTTGCTGTCAGAACGTGAAGATATTCAACCTGCCATGTGCATTGCTTGGCAAATGATGTGCTCTCATGTGCAGTAAAACTGGAATTGACTGAGAGAAATAAGAAATTGAAAAGTACCTCCTTGGTCTTTTATGGTGGCCTTTTGTGACGCCACAGTGGTCGCCATGCTCCGCTGATGACATGAGGGTTGTGGGTTCGATCCCAGCTTCTGCAACGGCGTTTCGATCGGGGCATTGTGCTAGAGGCTCGTGTACGTATACGTTTAAAGTGTACGTATACATTTAAAGATTAACCGCAGGTCCCCTGCTGTGGTGTGCCTCATAATTGTATTTATGTTCTGGCACCTGAAACCCCAAGCATTATTATCATATTATTATTATTACAGTCGAGTTTCATTAATTCAAACTCGAAGGGACCGACCTCTGAATTTTGTTTGAATTGCCAGAAGCTCTCGGATACAGTCGACTCTTGTTAATTCAAACTCGAAGGGCCCTCTGAATTTTTTTTGAATTATCAGAAGTTTTCAGATAGATGACTCTGGGTGAGATGTCACCACACGTTGTGATTAGACATTGATGTTATCGCATTAAAAAAATTTTAAAGTGTTTTTAAGCTGCAGTGAACAGAAAGCAGTGGTGTCAAGTCCACAAGTTTATTGGCCATTTACTGCCGATCAGACCTTTTAAATCAGTTATGAATTGCCAACTGCTCCATTGCTATATGTGCCTTCAGCACAAAGCTCTCTATACCAGTTGAGAATCATCACAGTTTACCATGCCTGTGCTTGGTTTCAAACTTGTGTTTACTAGGAAAGCATTTTTTTTTGGAGGCCTGAAGTGCTTATTATTTTTAGACTGTTAGGATTATATAAGCATGCAAATTTTTAAATGATAGTGGAAAGGCATAAGATATTTCTTGGTATGCGACTGCATAATGTATGAATTCACCGAATGATGGAGTTTGAATTAGGAGACTTTTAAATACATTGAAAGAATAGAGGGCCAACCAACCAAAAAATTTAATTTTGTTTGAATTAACTGAAATTATGAATTATCAGAGTTTGAATTATCATGAGTCTACTGTATTATTGTTATTAATATATTTTTATTTAATACTGTATGACATCAATTAATTTATTGTCTGGCTACTGTGCACCAAGAAAAGAG